CTTTGATATCCAAAATATATGTATATACATATTCACAAGCATCAATTAGCATCATTATCACATATGAATTCATATAAGAGCACATAATTAAAATCGAGGGTCAGCTCGGGTACCGTTCTCGGGGATTTGTACAAGGAGACGACTCGGATAAATGTTCGATAGTGGGGTTGAAGGTTCTTTTGGATGTCCTTTCTTGGGCCCAAACCAACACTTATCTATTAAGACATGATGTTGAAAATTGGAGCCCAAAATCACCAAAGCCCAAATTAATTCCCTAAGGCCCAAACACGTTTATTCTTCTTTTTCCATTTTCCTTTTTACCCTTTTCTTCCCCTCTTTCTTTCCTTCCCGTCACTTCCATTGTCTTCTCACAGATCCCCTTTCCTCCTCCTTCCCAAATTCTTCTCCTTCTTTCGCAGCCCTCCCCAATTTCGGCCTAATTAAATCACCCAACAACAATGGAAGCCCCAACTTTGAGAGGGTCTGGCTTCGCGTATCCTCGAACTCGACAACGGCTTACGGTACTCGGTGTCAAGCGATGGAATAACATCGGACGAAGGACGGTGGTGGTTCGCACGGCTCGCGACTAGGACCGGCAGAGATGGAGGTCGGTCTCACCGGTGCGGTAGTGGTCAGATGGATAGCTCCTGGGCGACGGACATCTAATGATTGAAGGTCTGTAGCAGATGGTCGAGAGGCCCGCGTCTGAACAAATCAGAAAATTGACGGTGGGGTTCCCCAGGCTGCTGGTGTTCACGATTTCCGGTCATGCACTGTTCGTGTGTTATGGTGTTGAGGCGCGTTGTGCCGATGCGTGGAAAAAAAACTCGCGGGAAGGCTGTACGTGGAAGGACACTGTTACACGACTAGTCGCGGTACTCTCCTTGACCGTGCGGAGTTGCTGTTGACGGGGCTTGTCCGGTGGCGGGTTGCTACGGTTCGTCTTGCGGCTCACGTGAGCTGTCGTTGATATTCGAGGGTTGTTGCACGCGACAAAAGTGGTGATGCTGGTGGCGGGAAGCTCACGGACAGCAGGGCCGCGATTGGATAACGGGGCTCGCCAGCTATGCTTGATACTCCGACAGAACTCGACGGGACTCGACGACCACGTTCGGCAATCCGACAGAACTCGACGGGACCCGACGGAGGGTGATGATTGTGACCGGGTTTCTACTGGAGGTTGATGATGATGGTTTGCCGCGGGTTTTACTGAGATGGCCTACGATGATGGCGCTGGTATGAACGGAACCGATGCGACGAGGTACTGCTGCGAGTTCAAGCGAGGAAGACGACGGTGCTGTTACCGGATCGAACGGAATGATGGCGCGATAAGATGATGATGATGGTTCGATGAACAAAGAAGGAGAGTAGGATGGTGATGATCGCGGGTTTCTGGCCAGGTTATTGCGAACAAGGTTATCGATGACTGGTCGCGACTCCATTGTAGAATATCGGCCTGAAGTTAACAGCGTTGAGGAATTGTGGCCAGAGACGACTCATCAAGTGGCCCGAAATGAACCTTAGGGCCGCTAATGAGTAATAGAAATTTGGGTACAAATGTTTTGGGTAAATGAATTCACGTATTGGGAGAATTTCTTTTGGTCTTCTTGGGTTTAAATGCGTCTGCTGCGTTTGAGTGACTCTCAGGAAGAAGACTTTTTAGCCGAGATATTATAGGTGAGTGAGAGGTGATCGTGCGATTGTGAGAGGAGAATCTCACATGAAAATCGCAACAAAATTTTGAACAGAGGAAGGGAAGGAAACATTCAAACGCACACGATGGCTATAAAAAATACATCTCTCCTCCAAGAACATAAAATTTTTAACGTAAAAGAAGTGGGCCAAGGGTTAACTCAAATTGGACACGATTAACCCTAACATTAAAATATCATACAAGGGCCTAGAAATACAAAAGTAAGGGGACGAAAATGAGGCCACACGAAACGCCAAATTAAATGGTTCGAAGCTCGGTTCAATTGTTCGGGAATATATCAAAAACGGCTTGAGAATAATCATACGCGATTGACGACAATTAACCAAACGATTTGACGAGCGAACAAAAATCAAACGACGGTTGGCAAAAGATTTACGACTGCCGAGGATAATAGAATAAACGACTTATAATATTAATTAAGTGAAATCATCTAATTAAATAATAATAAGTCTAAACGAAAAGTGTCGAGCAGTTATCGTAATAGTACCCACTTTAATAAATAACATGTGATAATTCATATAATCAGGGAAAATCCATAATTTGAACGGGAACGAGAATTTCCTTACGCGATCAAACCAAAATCGCTGGACGATGGACGTTTTAAAAATAAAACGAACTTGTACTTAAATATATAATAATAATAATAATAACAATAAAACAATGTTAATAAATAAATTCGATAAATAGAATAATCCGAGAAATTCTATTAATCGAACGGGGCGTTACAAAACCGTTCGTCACTCCCCTTAGTGTTTGGTAGTAATTTGCTAAACTTATTTATATTTAAGTAATTATGTGATTACATGCTGAATATATACCTTCCATGAATTATTTATTTATTTATGTGTAAAAAATTGTATTATGTGTTTTGTAGAAATTTAAATCTTAGGGTTTAAATACGAAATCCTTAGCATATGAATATATCTCGTAGATAATTCTTTGATTATGGACCATCTTTTTGTCCTGAACACAATGCCTTTGACTTTGTGTAAATCGGACTTGTATTTTTAGAGATATGTTTTTTTAAAAATTATGTGTCTATTGAATCTTGAAAAATTCATGATAATTCGCCATGTGGTCCAAAAATTCTGAATTTTTATTATGTTGTTCCTGTGATATATATTAACCTTATGTTTAAAATTTATAATTTTTGTAGTTGGTTTTATAGGATAAATAATTAGATGTACGTTTCTGCAGAATGTTCGATAAATCACATAAAATTGGTTTTTGATTATAAATGCATGAAACTTGGTTATTATGTTTATTTTAGGTGATATTTAATACAGTGAAAGTTTCAGAAATTTTCGAATTCGTTTTTTTGAGGTTTCGTGAAAATCATCTTTTCGGAAACTTGTTTTAGTTTTCATAAATTACATGTTTATTGTTTAAATCTGGAAATATTATATGTTTCCTGGACCATGATGTAGTATGTTTGATAAAAATTTGAAACCTTGAATTGTCCATATGACCAGACTTTAAATTCATGTCCCAATTAAGCTGAAATTTTATATTAATTCAATAAAATCACATGGGTAAGTTTTAGGGCTGAAACTTTGTAATTCTACTCTATTCAACATGCCTTTCTATGTGTTAAAAATATAAATAATGGCTCGCTTAATTGCTTAGACATCATGATCATGTGTCTCAGTTGTCGATTTTTGTAAAGGCCCGTTTATTTTGTTAAAATGTAAATTTTGAGCATAATTCTACTTGCATGTTGGTTGGTGACGATTAAATATTGTGTCTTTAAATTTTGGAGTCAAACTCTCGGTTGGATTTTTTAGATAACCGAGAGATGGCCTAAGTAGTGCCAACAACGCCCTGCCTCGCGCAAGCCAAGTCCGTAATCCGACTTTCGGACTTTTTTTTTCCCTAGCCTTTTGACCTTAGTTGACCTTTGACTGTTTATTTCACTTGGTCAACTATTATTCGACTATTATTTGTTTTTCCATACTTGGTCCCGAGTCTAGTCAATGTCCCATAATTCCACATGATTTTCCACGAGCCACTTAGTTGAAACATTTCAACTAAGTGTATGTGTTCGTTTGGATTATTAGTAATCGGGAGGCAATCTTGTTTCGTGTAGGTACTTTAAGGTGTTGACCTCTCCACTTACCGAGCCTCGCCTTTTGTGTTAATTGCTATTTCTAGGTGGGTACAGTTTGTGTATTTATAATTATCGCATTTCGTTATTTCGTATAAATGTTCGTCTCGATAACTTTAGTATGCCTGAGAACCATTGTCTAGTGTGTTACACCGCCAGGGGCATCTCGCCTTTAGTGCCTTTGATGAATGCATAAGCAGTGCGAGGTCACCTGCCCGTCGTATTCGGGAGGAGGACGCCCTAGCCCGTGTGTTGGGGAAAAACATCTCGACTGTCTCCTGGAAAGGATCCCTTAGCCCGTGTCGAGCAGGGGTGGGAATGTTTTCGGTTACTTCCTTGCCGATGTCTGATCGGTAGTTTGATGTATGTACATAGGAGGTTTTCGATAGGGCCATATTGGGAGTTAGACCTGGATTCTATGCATACTCTATTTATGGATTTGAATCTTTATGCGAGATAGACTTATGCGATATTGGTGAGCATAGTGGTTTTGCTCACTCCCATTATTTGTTTTTGTCCTTTTGTTTCATCTCCCTATCTTTAGGCTGAGCATTGTTGGTGGCGGCAGTGAGAGACAAGCGAGCAGTGGTCATGGATATGTCATGTCTTTTGCTTCTGCTCTTTTCCTTTATTATTGGATTGTCATGTTACTTTTATTTATGCTGATTTCGTTGATTTGTTTGATATTATGATCGGATTCTCGATCTTTGGACTCATGTTGATTTTAGGATATTTATATAAATTCTGTTTTGGTTATTATGTTTACTAGTATGCATGTGTAGATTCTTATGTTTTACTTGTTGATTATTTTGCTAGTAGTTTAAGTAGCGCCCGTTAAAGTCTAATGTTTTAAATTGGAATTTTTGCAAAAATTTTACTTTGATTTTTATAAAAATATTCGGTAAACTCTTTAAAATAAAATGGGGCGTTACTGTATGGTATCAGAGCTAGTCTGCGTTTCTGTAGACTATCTCTAGTGTATTGTATTAATGACCATTGACCACTCGCTTCGTCTCGTCGCGCCAACTCGAGGTATGAGATTTTGTTATTTCTTTATATTATTAGGGGTAGGACTATCCACCATGTTATGATTTAAATTCTAGTGTTTGAGCGATGAACTCTAGAATTGATACTTTGTTTGTGCTATACTATTCGGATTATTCAATGTAGAGCTATGGCTAGACGCAATGCTCGCAACAGGCAGCCATCTCCGTCTCTGTCCCCGCCTCCTTCGCCTCGTCAGCAGGCTCCTTCCGATCCAGACCGAGATTTTACGAGGCTTATCATTCAGTTCCAGACATGCATCCGCCTACTTTCACGGGGACTGAGAGTCATACTGCCGTGTTGGAGTGGATGAAGAAGATAGATAAGATCTTTGTTGTGCTCCATCTCACTCAGCCACAGCGTGTCTCTTTGGCTGGCTTTCAGATGAAGATGGACGCTTCAGATTGGTGGATTGACTACTGGGCCTTGAGACCAGAGGTTGAACGTGAACCTCTCACCTGGGAGCATATGAAGTATATCGTCCGAGAAAAATTCCTTCCCCAGAGTTTCCGTGATCGCATGGAGCAGGAGTTTTGGCACCTCCAGCAGGGGAATGCTAGCGTGGACGAGTACACACGCAATTTCACTCGTATGAGTATCTTCACTGGCGAAATGGTGAATACCGATGCGAAGAAAGCCCGCAAGTATCTGAAGGGGCTTAACCAGCGAATTCGTGAGCTTATAGGTAGCCATGGAGCAATGTCTTATGCCGATACCGTTCTGCGAGCTCAGGAGGTTGAGAGTTGTTTGATCCCGATAGCTCCAGTTCCCTCCTATTATCATGCTTCTCAGACCACACAGACTGCACCTCCGCTCATCTCTCAGCCACCTGTCATTCCTCAGATTTCTTATCAGCATCCTGCCCCTTTCACTGTTGTTCCCCCATCCTCTAGCTCCGACAAGAAGAAGATCGACCACCAAAATCGCAAGAAGGGCAAGCGCCCTAACCCTGGTCCCCGTCATCCCCAGCAGCAATTTATGACCCAGAGAGTTCAGCCTATCTAGCAGATCCTAGTAGGATCGTCGCCTTGTCGAGCATGCGGACGAGTCCACAAGACCAACATGTGTCGGGCTGCCGACATGACTTGTTTCAACTGCCAGAAGAAGGGCCATTTCTCTCGTGCCTGCCCAGAACCTCGTAGGCCACCTCAGCAGCAGCAACAGCAGCAGCGAGCCCCAACCTGAGTTTATGCTCTTACTCAGGAGGAGACATCCAACAATGCAGGTACAATGTCTGGCATGCTATCTTTATCGAATGTTCCTATATATGCTTTATGTGATACTGGGGCCACGCATTCTTTCATCTCTCGTCAATGCCTGGAGTCACTGGGAATCCGTAGTGTTAGTAGAGTCAATGCTCTCGAGGTTTCTCTAGCTTTGGGAAAGACGATCTCTACCGACACGATGGTACATGGACTTGAAATTTTGATCGGAGGCCGAACTTTGGAGGCAGATGCTTATATCATTGACATGCGGGATTTCGACGCCATCCTTATTATGGATTGGCTCACCCACTACCGTGCCGACATCCGATGCTTAGAGAAAGAGGTCACGCTTCACCCAATTGATGGAGAATCAATCGTGTTTTACGGCACCAAGTCGAGGACCGTGTCGAAGGTCATATCATCCCTGAAGGCCATGAAGGGAATAGCGAAGGGTAGTTTCCAAGGCTACCTAGTGAGCATGATTGGAGAAGGGGAAGAGAAGAAACCATCACCGGGGGATGTATCAATCTTGTGTGAGTACCCCGATGTTTTTCCCGACCAGTTGCCAGGTGTACCGCCTAACCGTCAAGTGGAGTTTACCATTGACTTATTGCCTGGAGCCAGACCTGTCTCGAAGGCCCCTTATCGAATGGCACCGAAGGAGTTGCAAGAACTCAAGACGCAAATCCAGGAGCTGTTGAACCTTGGTTTCATCCGACCGGGGGTTTCACCTTGGGGAGCGCCAGTGCTGTTTGTGAAGAAAAAGGATGGTTCGATGCGCATGTGCATCGAATACCATGATCTGAATAATTTGACGATCAAGAACAAGTATCCCTTGCCGAGAATAGAGGATCTCTTTGTTCAGTTGAGAGGAGCTAGTGTCTTTTCCAAGATAGATCTGCGGTCTGGTTATCATCAGTTGAAGATCAAGGAGTCCAATGTCTCGAAGACCGCCTTCCGAACTAGATACGGTCATTACGAGTTCGTGGTTATGCCGTTTGGGTTGAGTAATGCCCCTGCGGTGTTCATGGACTTGATGAACTGTGTTTTCCACCCGTATCTGGACCAATTCATCATCGTCTTCATAGACGACATCTTGGTGTATTCCCGGGACATAGAGGAGCATAGAAAACATTTGAGGATTGTGCTAGAGACCCTTCGTCGGGAGAAGCTCTACGCGAAATTCTTGAATTGTGAGTTCTAGCTGGATAGAGTGGCTTTCTTAGGCCATATCGTCACGGCTCGTGGAATCGAGGTAGACCCGGGAAAGTTTGAGGCCGTCAATAAATGGGAGACACCGAAGAATGCTAGTGACATCCGCAGTTTTCTAGGACTAGCAGGATATTATCGTCATTTTATCGAGGGTTTCTCAAAGGTGGCCCAATCGTTGATCAACTTAACCAATAAGAACATCAAGTTTGTGTGGAGCCCTCAGTGTGAGTCGAGTTTTCTGGAGTTGAAGAAGAGACTCACATCTGCGCCCGTGTTGACTATACCGAATCTGACTTTGGAGTTCACTATATATAGTGATGTTTCGAAGATTGGTTTGGGTTGTGTGTTGATGCAGCAAGGAAAGGTCGTGGCTTATGCATCGAGGTAGTTGAATCCTCACGAGGTTAATTATCTGACCCATGACCTGGAACTTGCCGCATTGGTTCATGCACTTAAGATATGGAGGCACAATCTCTACGGAGGCAAGTGCGAGATTTTCACGGACCACAAGAGTTTGAAATACATCTTCACGCAGAAGGAGCTCAATATGAGGCATAGGAGCTGGATAGAATTAGTGAAGGACTACGATTGCACAATTAGCTACCATCCGGGGAAAGCTAATGTGATCGCTGACGCGTTGAGTCGGAGGAACCATGGTGCACTGAACTTCATCATCTCTCGGGAGGAAGAGTTAGTCTGAGACTTCGAGCGGCTGAAGTTAGAGATCATGGATCCACTTCGAGAGCTAGTGGTGTGTTGGCATCATTAGTTATGGGGCCATCTTTGTGAGAGAGGATTAAAGCCGAGCAGCCGACTGATCGATTCCTTTGTCGGATGAGATAGTTGGCTTTAGCTGCACAGATTCCATCAGCTGAGGAACCGGGCGGTGAGTTTTGTGAAGGTGCTATGGAGCCGACACGACGAGACCGAGGCGACTTGGGAGATCGAGGCTGAGCTTAGGAGGAAGTACCCGAACTTCGCCTTTTGATCTCTTTTGTACTCTTTCACTTTCTAGTTTGATTGTTTTTCTTTCGAGTTCCGAGGTCGGAATTCCTTTCTAAGGTGGTTAGATTGTAGCGCCCCATTTGTTTCGGATTTATTTGAAATTTTTAATCATTTTATTTTATTCGGATTAATTTTTGGGGTCGACTATTTATTATTACGTGATTATAGCTCTTATGTGCTTAGTGTATTTAATTACTATCGAGCCGAATAAAATTCCGAATTAAGTTCCGAACTGAGTATCGGACCGAGTCGAGCTATTAAATTTTATTTCACGCGCTATATAACCAAACCGGCTGAAGCCGACCCAAATCGCGCCAGCATGCGGATAAATCACCCCAAACCGCCGTTCGTTCAATTCACGTGCATGCATGGTTCCTTGATATTTGAATTCCTAAATTGTAACCTCCCAAACCAAATAAATCGGCACTTTGTTTCCCATTATCAAGCAATTAAAGTGAGTTATGGGAAAAGCTACAGATTGTTAGCTTCTAAAGAGAAAATCCTACCCCAATTCTCATTTCTCTCATTTTTCTCTACCTCTCGTCTCCGTAATTCTCTTCTCTTTCTTTTTCTTTTTTTTTTTTTAAAAAAAAAAAGAAAAAAAAAATCAGAATTTATTCCCCTCCCTCACCTCATATTTGCACCAGAAAAATAATTCCCCGAGCTCATTGCACTACTGCACGCCCCGTTGCCCCGCAACGCACGACCGCAAATACCGAGCCCGCGTAACACCTCGTTTCGCTTCATCGTTGTCGTGCACCTGACCATTGGTTTGAGCCCTCCATTGCAGCTGTTCGAACTCCATCAACGAGCTATCGAAGGACTTTCCAAACACCGTGCGAGCCGCCTTTAACGTCGAGCACGTTCAAGCGGACGATTTCCCCGCCCGAGACCAAACCGTTCGTCACTCCCTTTGGTGTTTGGTAGTAATTTGCTAAACTTATTTATATTTATGTAATTATGTGATTATATGCTGAATATATGCCTTCCATGAATTATTTATTTATGTGCAAAATTTGTATTATGTGTTTTGTAGAAATTTAGATCTTAGGGTTTGAATTCGAAATCCTTAGCATCTGAATATATCTCGTGAATAATTCTTGGATTATGGACCATCTTTTTGTCTTGAACACAATGCCTTTGACTTTGTGTAAATCGGACTTTTATTTTTACAGATGTTTTTTTAAAAATTATGTGTCTGCTCAATCTTCAAAAATTCATGGTAATTCGCTATGTGGTCGAAAAATTCCAAATTTTTGATATGTTGTTCCTGTAATATATATTGACATTGTGTTTAAAATTTATAATTTTTAGAGTTGTTTTGATAGGATAAATAATTAAATATACGTTTCTGCAGAATGTTCGATAAATCACATAAATTTTATTTTTTTAATTATAAATGCATGAAACTTGGTTATAATGCTTATTTTAGGTGATATTTAATATAGTGAAAGTTTCAAAAATTTTTGAATTCGTTTTGTTGAGGTTTCGTGAAAATCATCTTTTCAGTTGAAACTTGTTTTAGTTTTCATAAATTACATGCTTATGTTTTAAATCAGGGAATTTTATATGTTGCCTAGACCATGATGTAGTATTTTGGAAAAAAATTTGAGACCTTGAATTGTCCATATGTCCAGACTTTAAATTCATGTCCCAATTAAGCTGGAATTTTATATTAATTCAATAAATCACATGGGTATGTTTTAGGGCTGAAACTTTGCAATTCTACTCTATTCAACATGCCTTTTTATGTGTTAAAAATATAAATAATGGCTCGCTTAATTTCTTAGACATCATGATCATGTGTCCCAGTTGTCGATTTTTGTAAAGGCACGTTTATTTTGTTAAAATGTAAATTTTGAGCATAATTCTTCTTGCATGTTTTTTGGTGATGATTAAATATTGTGTGTTTAAATTTTGGAGTCAAACTCTCGGTTGGATTTTTGAGATAACCGAGAGATGGCCTAAGTAGTGCCAACAGCGCCCTGCCCCGCGCAAGCCAAGTCCGTAATCCGACTTTTGAACTTTTTTTTCCCTAGCCTTTTGACCTTAGTTGACCTTTGACTGTTTATTTGACTTGGTCAACTATTATTTGACTATTATTTGTTTTTCCATACTTGATCCCGAGTCGAGTCAATGTTCCATAATTCCACGATATTTTCCACGGGCCACTTAGTTGAAACATTTCAACTAAGTCTATGTGTTCGTTTGGATTATTAGTAATCGGGAGGCTATCTTGTTTTGTGTACGTACTTTGAGGTGTTGACCTCTCCACTTACCGAGCCTCGCCTTTTGTGTTAATTGCTATTTCCAGGTGGGTACAGTTTGTGTATCTATAATTATCGCATTTCGTTATTTCATATAAATGTTCGTCTCGATAATATTAGTATGCCTGAGAACCCTAGTCTAGTTTGTTACACCGCCAGGGACGTCTCGCCTTTAGTGCCTTTGAAG